TACAAAGTGACCTACCTTAGCTGTGTTTTAGTAGACTAATATTTTGTAAAATACAGTCACATTTCAATTATTATTGATTATATATTTATATAGATTATTGCTATTTAGATATAAGTTCTGAAACTTATTTTTCTTAAAACTTATAACAGTAATTAAAGAAGTAAAGCAAACAATTGACTCTTCTAGTTACAACCTTTGTACTGGGTTGCTGCTTGACATATGTTGCTAAGCCTTTTAAAATTTTGCACATGGAGGATATGAAACAAAATATTTTTTTTTATGTTTGATGTATACAGTTGAATAACCAAAAAATCACAAATCATTACACTATAATTTATCAAGCTTAGTAACTAAGCTGTATTTCAGTCTAAAAAACCACGAAATTTCGAGCAGACTAAAAACACAACCTACCTCCTTGAAATCTTGGTTTGAAAGAAAGAAAGAAGTGGCATCCAAACGTAGTAAGATGGCTGAGAAAGCCACTAGGGGGAATTCTGAGCTTTCGATTGGTTATTCATGTCATATATAGAAGTAAGTGCATATGAGGGAGTGTTTTCAAAAATGGAAAAAAGATGGGTGGGGTGCCATTGTGTTTGATTTATTATATGAGCAATATCTTAGCAAATAGAAAAGATAAGATGTTCTTATTTTATATTAAAACTCGTAAATATTGGTAATTTCAGTTCCTAATTCATACAAAACTATATATTTAGTATTTTGACATCACAAAAATCTAATTTGAACCAGTTCTGCTTTCAACATACCACATGACACATAAAAACCGATGTTTAACTGAGTTTTTTAAATATTTACTTTTAAATTAAGAAATTGAGTAATGTATAATATTAAAATTGGAATTATATTCCACAACTTCTATCATATTTATGGCTGCTGCAGGTCCTTTGTTTGTGGAAAATGTTACTGCCAATTTTCATCCTCTAACCCTTTCCAGATGGGTCACAGGTGAAAGGCCATGTCCTCATGTTTGTTGACTCACACTGAAAATTTTATTGAACTACTTTTCATGAATTTATATTAATAAGTTTGGTATTAAACTGTGAGGAGTTTTGAGGCATTATGTTGTATAGTATCTCGAGTTATGCAAACAGTCTTAGTAAAGAATATTAACTAGTCTCATTCCAGATAAAATGTCAGCTTCATGAAAAGATCTAGAACCTTTGGAGGACAAAACTGCAGAGACATGAGAATTGGTTGTGTAGAATTGCTTGAAAATGTCAACTTCTATGTAAAGGTCCATGAAATTAGGAGAACCTTGGAAGAAAGGCTCATGGCCTGAAAAGAACAAATAGATTACAGGCCTACAAATTGAAGTAGAGAAATGTACAGAAACCAGTTGATGCATAAAACTGCTTCAAGTATGAGCAAGCGTATAGAATAATTTCTGTTTGTAGAGTCGAAAGACAATGTGAAAGGTAACCATAACACAGCTTGTAGTTTCCACTGTTCAGAAATGTGCAAAAGTGAGCAATGGTGTTATAAATCTCATGAAAATCAAAAGTGAAGAATGGGCATTCACTGAAAGAAGAAATAGTCAAAATAACAGTGACTATGATATATTACTAAACCAAACCAATCACAAATGACACTCAAAATCATTCAAAATTGAAGAACAAATATAAACACATCTGTTAATGGTAGTGCCAAATTTAAGTATGAAGTTAATTTTAAGTGCAAGTGCTTATGTGGATCTACTCTGCATGGAGGATGTGTCACCCTCCTATTGGTTGCAGGCCATTGCTGCATGATGATTACATCATATACTAGTGCAGTTCACGTTAAAACACGATTTGGGTGGGAGGTTTTTAAAGGCAAAATCTCAACAACAGGCGCACAATAAACATCTACTGTGTCTAGAGAGAGAGAGTTAAGTGGATCATTTCGGAATTAATGTTTATCCATTCTTACTAGGTTGTGATAATGTCTTCATTTTTCTTAATTCAGTATAATATTAATGTTTGATATTAATTTTTTCATATTGGTATTATAATTAGATGATATCCCTTTAAAATTTTAGTTCTGTTATCAGAAAATATCTTTAACCTTTTGATTACCATTATATTTACCCACAGTTTTTGCACTGAATCACACTTTTTAGTAATATGTTATTTTTTCCACAAATCATTAATATATTATCAAGTTTAGTTTAATATTAGTTGACAATCCCAGGGGCTATGCTGACAGGTGCTGACACCTCATAAGAGGTTTGGCTGCCTCACTGGACCTAGAAGAGAGTTCCGTTACTTATGTTACCAGTGGCCTTCTGATTGGATTCTGTTTTGTTTTTTCTAGCTACACCATATGGTAATTTTTTGTTTTTTCCAGTAGTCTCATTTCTTCTGGATGTTGCACTTTTACCTTACTAGTGCAGAGAGGGTTGATATACTGCCAGTTTTTTTTGGATTTTATAGAGAGACTTTTCCTGTGAGTTGGTCAGCTTCCAAAATTAGCATTACCTGTGCATGGTCTGATGTATATATCAGGGTGGTAGTCTTATCATGCAGTTTTGTTGCTTTCTGCTCTTTATCTGTGGACCAGCCATTCTTAATTGTATGCATTAATGTCTGTGAGTCAATCAGAAATATTATATTGGTGACACTGTCTGTGTGCAGTTCATTGCTTTCATCAATTCAGAGGAGAGCTTGTTATATGGCTTCGAGCTCCATCCCTGTGAAGCTTGAATGCTTCATCGGACTTATGCACAAGACATCTAATGCACAAACAGCTCTCTTGCTAACTGTGGCTATGATTACAGGTGAATGTTTACTATGGTCTTTAAATAGGTGCTGACAGGCTTTTCATTCATCATCCTCTGCCCAGTCTCTACATCTTATATTTAGACCAATTTTAAAACATCACAGTAGCACAGATATTTATTCCACATGGTGAAGTATCTCAGTGGAGCTTTTATTGCACCAGTGACTATTTCCTGAGGTGCCTTTACTTGTTTGGAACTGGAATGTCTCATTTGAATAGGGAAATGGCTTGATAATGGAATGCATTGTCATTACACTGCAAGGCCTTAGTGAAGAATTTTGCTTGTAAGTGCTTGTAAGCAAAGATGCTGAGGCTTGTGAGTTGTAATAGAGCTTTGATGGAATTGGCTGAAGTTTGTCCCTTGACCAATCATAAACAGGTATTTTCTATCTTTTCAATATTATCTAGCTGTGTAGCACTCATACAGATCATTGGTATTGCATAATCTAAGAAGGAGCAGATAATATTTTGATAGACCATAAGCTTGTGATCTTCTTTAGTTCTGTTTCCTGATGTAACTTTCAGTGCATTTGGTAGCTCTGGTTATTGTGTTGAGTAGTTTGTCAAAAGCTACCCCCAGGTATTTCAGTATTTCTTTTAGAGGGATGGCAGTTCCCATGAAGGATGGTAATGATTTATATTCATCTTCATGTCAGATGTTTAAATTGTGGAACATGGCTGTGGCTTTGGCAAGATTGATGACCATTTGTGTGTCATTGCACCATTTACTTCTGCTGCTAAAAAAGGGATGGATCTTGCTTTCAGTTTCAGTTTTGCTAGAGCTTTTACTGTACACTAGCATCTTGTTGACAAAAGCTAATACAGCATATGGTGAGACTGTTAAAACAGGCAAGATCCGTGGTGAAGATATTGAAGAGGACTAGCAAGAGTGGTAATTTAAAACACGTAAATTGTTTTAGATATAATGTTAATGGAGACTTTTATAATTCTTTCTTACAGAGGATGGTAAACTTTACACTTTTGGTGAAGGAGTAGGAGGTAAACTTGGATTACCTGAGACGCTTCTCAAAAAGAACACTAGACCACAATCAGTATCAGGAATTCAAGGAAAAGTAGTTTGGGTATCCTGTGGTGGAAATCACACTTTGGCATTAACAGGTAGTATTTTGCCAAATTTTGTAACTTATAACAGAAACCATATACACAGATAATAATTCCTAATAGATAATCTCTTCTCCACTGAGTAACTTATTCAGTATGAGACAGATCTAACATCATGGTTCTGTGCACATGGTCTCAATGAAAAAATTCCAAGTACATGCTAGGTTCACATGGCTCTCTATGCAGGTAAAGACAAGTGATCTAGATGCTGTGTTGTACATCTGTATTAAGAAGTGTCCTCTTGTGCTCCAGCTAACTCATAATTCATGAACTTGTGGTAAGCCCTGCTTGTGTGTTCTATATGGTGTTTGTTAACATTCTACAGATTCTTTTAGATGTGTATCAGGTATTACTAACCAAGATGTAAAAATAATAATTCTTTAGCAGATTTTTGAAGAAAAATGGTTCACTGCAGGCACTTCAGATTATAAAATGTTACAGTATTTCTCATTAAAATATAATATCATTAGCCAAATAATGTAATTATTTCTTTATTTTGTGTATATTTATTATCAAGTCAATATGTCATTTACATAAAATAACTATGACAAAGGATCGTTTGGTCCTTAAAAAAATTACATTTTATGAGAGATTTGCTTAGTTTTAGTCTTATCTCTGAAAACTTTTATATTTCTAGTAAAATAATGAAGAATTCTCAGATATAATTCAAACCTCAATCTATAACAACACCATTATCATACAGTATTTTACAACTTAACAAATTGTGCATGTTCAAAGTAAAAACAAATTTTGACCCTTGTGAATAACAATGCATTTTAACTGTATAACAGTTGTGAAATATGGAAACAGGTAAACTAATTTCAGTAAAGGATAGCAAATCTTTACAAGAAGCAAAATGTGTATGTGAACTATTCTAGATCAAATTCCATAAGTTAACATATGTAAACCAATAACCGTGTAAATATTTCATTAAATCACATTGCAAGACTGGAATTCATTTTCGAGCATGTGCCTGTCAAAATCTTGCTCAATGAAAATTATGTCCAACACCACCACATACATATCTATCTACAACTGAATGCGTCAATAGCCAGTAAAGCAAAATAAGTGATTCAGAGTTCAAGAGTTATTATTTACCAGATCAAGAGCAATTTACTAAGGCATTATGCATCATAACATCCATTTTATAATACATTATTAATAGTTTGTAATATATTTGTTCAATTCATTGATCTGAATGTTTATTTTTATATTCCTTATTTACAACCTTCTACTTATGATCTCTGCCATAACCTAAAACATTTGTCATTGATTTTGTCTGCCCTAATAATCAGTACATTTAGTATCATCAGTGTAATCTTTGCCTTAAGATTTGGAAGGACTTGAAATAGGTGCAAAACACTTTGAGAGCTTGAAAATATAGTAATGAAAGACCTATATATGTTTAGCTAAAACATGTCATTGTTATCATACTTATTCTATGAGTTATATACTGCTGCATCCATTAAAGCATCTCCATTAGATTTTTTGTGTTATTATATATTGATTAATAATCGAACTTTATCTAACACCACACAATAGTATATCTTTATAAAAGTGCATGGTTTGTTTACTGTAAGCAGTGTCTATACTGTCTCTAAAAGTCTACATAGAAATGGAACTAGAAGGTAATGTATGCATCACACAGTTTAATACATTACTGAAATGAGCAAGGAAGAATTGATGTTCAATAGATTCTTAAAACGTTTATTTTCCATGAAATAAATCTTTATTCAAATTCTCTAGCTATTTTTTCAACAAGCATTGAGTGATCCATTAAGAAAATAGTTATATACTCCATCCATTTTCTACGAAAATATAATTAGTATAAAGCTTCAATAATGTTCTATTCTATATAAAGAAATATACATCTTACAATTTCCACCCACATACACTGTAGATCAAATTCCCTCAGCTATGGTTTTTCACTAGCTATGAATTAGTAATTTTTGGTTCTTGTTAAAAGATAATTAAACCTCAGTGTTATATTTTAAGATACTCATGTGTTTACTCACCAATGGAGAACCAGGCATATCAGATAGTTACCCTGTGTACCTCACCCTGAAACTGGTAAAAGTAATGGTATATTCTTAGCATGTTTGATTACTTCATCAAATGTACCAAAGCCTATCCTTTAGTGAACACTGTAATGCAGTATTCTGCTGAATGTTTTGGTTGAACAGTGGAGCACGTCAAGGGATCCATACAGAACAGGAACTAACTTTAACAATCACTTGTGTTGGAGGTGGTAAAAACACATATTTCACTATATCATCTTCAACCTTATGGTTTAGCAAAATGGGTAGAACAGACTGTCAAGCAGGTGCATCTTAAGTTTACAAATCCTGAGCGAACCAACTGAAAGACAACCTACCTTACCTCATGATTGCACAACTGAGTAACAGTTGGCTGGTTGTTTTTCAAGTTTTCTGATGTTGGTATGACAAGTACAGCTCTTAGTAGATCTAATGTATGGCCCTCCACACACAGTTCAGATATACTGCTGTGTCCATAGGAATGTGTGGCAGAGAAAGACCCTTGTTCAGAAACTGAACAATTATTTTATTCTCCTGAAGAAGAATATTCAACTATTTGAAAGTGCTCGAGTTTTTGGTCTCGTTTTGAAAATAATGAACAATTACTGCACCTTACACTAATGTTTCTCTACCATATAGTTTGGAAATTAAGTGTTATCATTCCCATGATTAATTAACTGACCATCCAAAATACTTGTTAAGCAAATTAATCTCAGCATGTATCACGTGAAAAATGTAACTCACAGGGCTGTCAACACAAGATATGGAACAATCAAGTTAGATCCAAGTTGTTTACATGCTGCCGAAGATTGCCATAGCCATACTCAATGACTTGAACTTTCATTCTGCTATATTTTGCCATAACATCTCATTTGACGTACTACACCTTACAAATTTATTGATTCAAAGCTTCATGTGCAGAACACCATCACTTTTACAACAACTTATGTATATTCAAGATGCTCAAGATGAATATTATTGTGTCGTTCTAACAGACCAGTTTCATATTCTGTTCTGTGCTTCTGTTGAACAGTCTTAGAGTTCAAGAAGCTCTGGCCATTACGGCCTATAAACCAAAATCAAACTCAATGAATAATTCCATTAATTTTCTTCTCAGAATTTTATAAATAATTGATCAGTATAGTGAGTTAAGTAGTGATTCTGCATTACACATTGTACAATACTAAAAGACAGCTAGGACAACTTATGTCATCATAAAAAATCCTAGAACATAAACATTGAGTATCCCAATTGTCAATGACGTCTGCTAACTTAGATGCACCAATAAAATTTATGTTTTCCAAGCACTCAAGTGAGTGTTAGTGTAAGTTTGCATGAAGAAACTTTATGAGTGATCTTGTACTTTAGCGAATGTGCTGCATTGCAGTGCTGGGTTGTGTCTGTGGGTCTAGTAGGTCTATATCAGTCAGTATTAAGTGTAATAAGGGAATTTTGGCTTATCATAACATAAGAAATTGACATGAACAATACAAGTCTTGAAAAAATGTTTCATTTTGCTAGATTTAATCAGTTATTTTTTGTTTTTTCCTGATGTCTTGGGTTTTCTTACTCTTAAATGCCAGTACTGGCATGGAAAACTCAGACAGGATGCTGTTCTGTGATGATGAAATTTTTGTGTGACCCTTATTGCTTCTACGACATTAGATTCTTTGTGTATGTATCTATATAAGTTTTAATTTAAAACTAAAAATGTAATCTAGATGGGGAATTGTGATAGGAATGATCATTTGTTCTGATATTTTACTATGATTATTTTATCTTCACAATATCCTTGAAGTTGATGTTGTGCTTACCAAAGAAGTGGCACCTGAAAATCATACATGTGTTCCAGAGCATAGGAAGAGCAATTAATATTGGTTTTTGCTGTCATGGCTACCACAGTTACCACTAAATGGTGACATCGTGTATTACAAATATGTAGACATGTGTGTGTGTTGATGTACATAAAGTTGATAAGTTATATTTAAACCATTTTTAATATGCAAATCAGCAAGTCATCTCATAACCACAGTTAATCTCATGTTGTAGTAGAATAGTATTTATTAGAATTACATTTTTACATTGTTGGAGTTTCTTAAACAATGTGATGCCACTGAAAACTGATAATTTTTGCGAGTGGTTATGTAACAGCCTGGCCCGGCATAGCTAAGTGATTAGGGTGCTTGAATCACAACCTGAGGATCGCTGGTTCAAATCCCTGTCCCACCAAACATGCTCGCCTTTTCAGCCGTGGGGGCATTATAATATGACAGTCAATCCCACTATTCATTTGTAAATAAGATTGTTCAGGTTCTGTCCTTTTTGTTATCCCTCTCTGTATCTTATTCTGCTTTTCAGATGGGTTTGGTCAGTTTCTCTGTTGGGGGAGTTGATTTATATCATATAGACATCCTTTCGATACTGGATCAAAACTAACACTTGTCATGCTCAGGACTCAAAGTGGTTCTAGGTCTCTTGAACTTGAGGTGAAGACGGTAGGATCTTCATCCTACCCCCACATGTGTGTTGGTTCCCAGTAGCATGGGTTTTACATAAAATTGACTTTCCAAGTACAGTTTGTCGTGCCCTAACCACTCTACACCTAGGGGCACATGCATTGTTTTACCCACTTTTATACTTTGAGTAATTTAGTTACATATATATTTACATGGTTAGGACTGCTATCCTGCCACAGTTCTCTCCCACTTGGATGGCTCCTCTCTTTTTCTGTCCTTATCTACTACACATTTCACAGATGGGCGAAGAGTATACCTGGTTCAGTAGTGGTTCTCCTCATCAGATCTTTAGATCTGACTCTCTCATTTCCAGGGGTATCCATCAGATGCTTATTGGGGGGTACTTCTGTCATTCCCTTGCACTGATCCTGCCACGTAATAAATGTTGGATTCTAGTTAATCTTGTGAGCAGAGGGAAGTACCAGATCAGAAGTTATAATTTTCCTATACTGAAAATGTATTACCAACAGGTACTTCCCACCCTTCCTCCCCTCTTTCCTCCAGTGCTTACATCTTCTGCGAAACCTCGAGGTGATAGCTTGGTAGAGGCGTATAGATGGGGTCACATGCATCATGTGAGTACATCATGCTCGTAGTGGTGGAGAAGTGATGCATGATGATTTACATGAGAGACATGTTGGAATCATTCTATTCCAGTAGGGGGAGCAGAAGGCTTGTGACATGCATAAAGAAAAAATTCGCATATAGAGGGCAGCACTGGACGAGAATAGCTAATCTTGTGAGTGGAGAGAAGTACCTATCGGACATACATTTTCAATATAGGAAAATAATAACTTTTGTGGTCTACAAAATAATGGGATTTTGTGTCTTGAGTGTAAAATAGCATAAAATAAATTAACATACTAAGACAAAGACAATTTTAAGAATAAATCTACATCAAACAATTATTCTTGTATAATATAATCAAAGTTAAAGATAAACATGATAAAATTATCAATTGGTTATGTCTACAGTCAATTTTTATTTATCATGAAAATTAAAGGACATAAAAAAGAGGAGAGTAACACACTTCTTATGTTAGATTTTCAAAGCTGAAAAGGTTTTTACCATGTTTTTGTTTTTCTTAGCATTTTTTACTTTTTTCTCCAAAAACGACATTGATGCATCACCTTAGCTCCATATTCACTAACCACATTCAAGCTTTGATAGTGACTCCAAGAATCTACGTAGATATCTCATCAACATTATTGCCCCATTTGCATGTCTACAGTGAAATTCAAAAGCAAGGCTCAACACAATTTACAATACAATTTCTTAATACAATACAATTTCAATAAATGCTTAACCTTAACATAAATGAAAGAAAAATATACTCTAGATACAATAAATATATTGCATACGTCTGTAGTTCATGTATGTGATATGTAATACATTTATATGAAAACTATAAATTATTGATAAAAGGACATCCAATTTAGTTAAATGATTACAACTTAAGAGAGAGATCAAGTGTTGCAATTATTAATGATAGTAAAACACTTATGTGCTTGTCCTTGTACACTGTGGTATTTTCAGGTAAACTGAAATAATAAATGATGTAGGTCCATTTTATAATGGGAGGTTTGGCAAGCTAAACTGTGAAGTAATGATAAAATCCATTAAACTATCTGAGTCTATGATAAGAAATTAATGGACTGGAAAGAAAATGTGACACTCAATGAAAACAATCATTATTCAAACACAAACACCATATGTATAGTCATGTTAAATGCTGGACAGTTACCTTTGCTGGAGTTGTGAATTGATCAGATTGATTCAAGACTTATTTCCAAACTCATTGACTCACTTAAAATGATGTTCCACATTATCCAAATTTTATGTTACTGAGTTGCCTTCGTAATGACAGTCTTGCCCAGAACAACTAGCACTAGCCACAAGCTTTCCATTCAAGCATAAGAGAAGTTGTGACCTTCAGATATCATCTGATCTATCATTGGAAGACGCTGCAGTCGATCTCCGTGCACATTGTTGCAGCTTTACAGCTGTATCTTCCATGGGCACATCAACTGTCATCTCTAAGGGAATGACAAAGATCAAAAGTAGCTAAAATTATAATAATTTAACAACTTTCTTCATGACACGTTTATGAGGAAATGCACAAAATGAAAAATTTTGAAAACTTCTACATTAAAATATCTATCTTATGCTCTTAGAAATTACTGGTGCATTATAATACACATTTTAACTAGTGCAAATCCCAAATATACCATTTTTAAACCTAGAAACAACAAGCATATAGCTTTATATGTTCAGTACTCTACTTTTTATTTCAATATAATAGTGAACTCCTTCAAAGTTTAAAATACATACATCATGGAATGATGTTCAGTATGGACATGCATGTCTGCACTTCTAATGTAAGGCATGCATCCACTAATACATGGTGCTCATAAGGCTGTACATTGCAATAACTTGAAAGCCTTACACAAACCTTTATCCTCTGGAGTATTACATAAGAGTTTAAGCTTAGTGTGCTGATATGCACTCTTGATGTTAGTTCTGTTGTGTATTGTAGTAGCAACAACAAGCTTTTAAACAAACATTATATCCTTAATTAAATGACTTATAAGTTTGAAAAGGCATAATACTATGTAATTTATACTCTGTTAGTTGACACAAAGAAGATATACATGTTTACAAATAATATGAAGTAGACATTTTCCCTAAATATATCATGTAATATATGCTCAAATTGGTAATTTAAGATGCAAAGTACTCCTAATATAACAGGTAATATACTCCATTAGATAACGCAAGTAAATGATGAAGTATAAGATAGACATTTAAGGTAAGCCATTAAGTATTCAATATGAAGTGGAAGTTGTATAAAGTTGTAGCCACACATCAATATTTAAAAGTAATATATATTTTACTAAATAGCTTATAATAATGATCATAGTCACAGTTATGAATAAGTAATGTCTCCTTAACAGCAGCCCCCCAGTGGCACAGCGACATGTCTTTGGACTTACAACACTAGAAACTGGATTTCGATACCCATGGTGGGCAGAACACAGATAGCCAATTGTGCTTAATTACAAACAAACAAACCTTAACAGCTAAAGTAAAGCTGAAGTCACACATTAGTATCAACAGGTAATTTATACTTCACTGGTTAATATATAGTACTAGTCATACAGAAACACATACAGATCTTAATGTGTAGACCTGTGTAAAGTTGATGTCAAATATGAATATTAGTAAGCACTGTATTACTTTACTGGATAACATATAATACTAGTCATGCACAGATGATAATTATCTAAAGTCACATACATAATAAAAGTAACATGTATTTCTTTGTTTTTTGGAATTTGTAGTGTATAATGAAGAAATTAAACAATTTTGGAATAAAGTTAGATGCTATTCTTTAATTAAACACTTTCCAGCTGATGGCCGTCCCTACAGTTTTGGAGATGGAAACAATGGGCAGCTTGGTTTAGGTACCAAAGTTCTTGATGCTCCAACACCACAGCCAGTTAGAGGGCTAGAAGGACTTAAGATTGCCCGGGCTAGTAGTGGTGAAAATCACACTGCTTTCCTAACAGGTTTGTATGCATATCTTTTAGACCAACATTACTGATGAAGTTTTGCATTTTTATAAGTTGGGTGCTGATGACATGTGAAAGTTCTGTTATCAAGAAAGTTGATGAAAAAATGTATAATATACAATATTAAAAGTTTTAATATAGACAAGAAGTATAAGAATGTTCCATAAACTAATTGAAATTCAATAAATTCCTATATGTTGTTTTGTTGTATCATACTGATACTCAAAACTCATTTCTTTTATGCATGACATTAATAATTAATGATAAGTATTGGTATTTGAAAATTCTAATGTTTTTATAGTTATTTCACATCATATTTATTGGGTATTTTTTACTGTAAATTTATATTTATTATCAAATTATTGTTGTTTACAGTGGAATCCCAGTAATAATTTATTTATTCCAAACAGAGACTGGTCAGTTCTATGTGTGTGGTGATGGTCGTCATGGTAAACTTGGTTTGGTAGAAGGAGACTCAGAAGCTTTATCTAATCAGTTTTTTCCTACTTTGGTAACAAGATTCTTTGGTTTCCAGGTGCAACAGGTAAGATTTAAGAAAGAAATGTATTTTAAAGAACACTTGACTTTGGATATGTTCATGTAATCAGTGATTGGGATGTCTCTTTGTTCATTAAAATTGCAGACAAACAAATTCATAAGTAGATATAATTACATATACATTTTTATCTTTTTAGAATGTGAAACTAATGTTTCTATGAATAAGATTTAAGTGTTGGAAAAAAACTTTTGACCATGTAAAAACAGGTGTGTGTGTTACATTAGCAATATTTTAACTATTCAAGTTCTGTACATAAAAGAAATGGATTTAGGCATAATTTATGTATCATAAATACATTTTTATCTTTTTAGAGTGTGAAACTAATGTGGATTTAGGCATAATTTATGTATCATAAATACTTTTTTATCTTTTTAGAATGTGAAACTAATGTTTCTATGAATAAGATTTGTGTTGGAAAAAACTTTTGACTATGTAAAAACAGGTGTGTGTGTGTTACATTAGCAATATTTTAACTATTCAAAAATGGATTTAGGCATAATTTATGTATCATAAACCAAAGTACTGTTGATTTGTATCAAACTTAATTTTTTCATGGATCCAACCTTAATTATGACTCAGGAAAAATATATGTATTTAACAACATTTTGGAGTTTCACTTTCATCACAACTTTGTTTTGTGTTAAGAAACTTGTGGTTAATAAAAATAATTTTAAGAACTTAGGAGTGAAAGTAAAGAAGAATTTATAACAATATGTCAATCATGCCATACCCACTATATCTAGTGCCAATGAAGCCTTTTTTCCAATGCCACGGTTTGTCCAGCTGGCTGAGGTATAACAAACACAGTAGTGGTTAAGATGTTGTTTATAGAATTAGTTGTAATCAAAATTTGATCAGAGAAATAAAAAGCATGCTTAATACACTCCAGATAGCATTATCAAGAGAAAAATAAAAAAACTCTTCACTTGTTTGAAAAATATTTTAAACTATTTTTTTCTTGTATGTTTCTCACCTTTCAGTCTATCATTATTGATGCAAAACATGTGTAGTTAATTTCTACATTAAAAGTGCTCACTGACGTTAAACAAATGGTTTTAAGTCAGTAAAGCTATCTAAAACAAAAATACTCTAAAGAATAGTATTGTTACGACAGCTGAAGTCACGTGATGCTGCTGGCACATTGGCACTGGTGGCGTGTGTGAGGAGTTTCTCAAATGATCTTGAATTTCCTAGTTTGTTTGGGATGCCCTTTTATTTAGTATATAAGCCTGGCAAATAAAAGAAGAGATAGATATACAGATAGATTGAAAATAGAGATAATTGAGTCAAGCGAACAGTAGGCACTGTAAGTAAAGTGTGTGAATCATTGTGATTTATAGAGTGTGTTATAAAAGTTGTTAAGTGTATTACAAAGTTGTATGGAGAAAGAATAAACTAGTTTTAATTAAGAAAGGACTTGTATCACTGAAGTTCCTCGGAAAGAATTTATACCGGAAATTAACAAACGAGCAGATACTCAACAAATTGGTGTCAGAGAGTGGGATATAGAAAAATAAAAGATGGAATAGGAAGTAGCAAATCAAACTACGACTTAGCAGATTTGATGGCAGCAATACAAGAATGAGAAAAGAAACAAGAAAAGAGACAACAGCAATTGGAGGAAAA